CAAATGGACCCTCAGGGTGCTTCAGGGGCGGGGCCTGCACTCGAGGGACCCCCACCCCACTCTGGCGCCACGATCCTGCAGGGTGGGGTGCTGCACCCCCAGGGAAACACCCACACACACTCATCCCCCCTCGGGATGGGGCCAGATCCTGCACCCATTGTCCCCCTTTTGCTGCATCCCAACGCCTTGTGCTGCAGAATGTGGTCCTGCACCCAGAGACACCCACCACCACCATAGGGTGCCACTGGGCAGGGCCAGATCCTGCACCCAGGGGACATCGCCACATCAGGGTCCCATTGGGCAGGGACAGATCCTGCACCCAGGGGACACCCCCACATCAGGGTCCCACCGGGCAGGGCCAGATCCTGCACCCAGGGGACACCCCCACATCAGGGTCCCATCGGGCAGGGCCAGATCCTGCACCCAGGGGACACCCCCACATCAGGGTCCCATCGGGCAGGGACAGATCCTGCACCCAGCACCCCTGGGTCCCCTCCCAGACCCTGCTCACTCTGGTGCATACAGAACCCCCAGAAGCCCCCCCAAAAAATGCAGAATAAAAGCAGGCAAAGAATCGCCCTGGAACAGTCGGGTACGGAGGTCTGGTACCACCCCAGAACCAGCCGCCGCTGGCTAATTAGCTTAATGATACTAATTAGGGCAACAAGGGACCCAGGAGCGGGCACAGCCTCACTCAAAAGAGCATTTTGGGTGAGAATTGATGGTTTGGGTGTAGGAGCTGGGGAGTGTGGGTGCAAGGTGGTGTGGCCATCCCCATCCTTGTCCCCATCCCTGTTCCTGCAGCCCGGTGGGGCCCGATGGGCTGCAGCCCCCAGCTGAACGCAATGACCCCCCCTGGTTATAAGCAGCAGTTCCCAGCTCTCTGCCTGTTCCTGGGGGAGATCTCAGAGGTGAGCTGGGGGTAAAAATACACACACACCCCACCCCAAAAAAATCTGGAAATACCTTCTTTGTGCTTGTCTCCCTGGGGGGAGGATGTTTTCTCTTCTTGTTTTATGTGATGTGCTGAATATTTTTTGTGTTATTGCAAGTGCCTAATTTATGTGATGTTAATTAACTGTCTGCAAATGCCCTGGGAAACCCAGGGTAGGGCGAATGTGAAGGCAGTGCTGGGCTCCTGCTCTGTTCCCCCTTGGCAGGGAGGTGTTGGGGCTGTGGCACGTGTGTTGAACCAGCTCGGTGTGCAGCCAGCGATGGACCCTGGCCCCACTGCGCTCCCCAGGAAGAAATCAGCAGCTGGGTACGCCTGGCAGAGACTCCTCTGCCTCCGGCCCCGCAGGCAGAAGAAGAAGGTGGCTTATTCCACCTACATCCACAAGCTCCTAAACCAGGTATGTCCTGACTGTGCTCGGGTGTAACTACTTTCCAAGCTTAGCTTGGTCACCCACCTATCCATGCCCAGAATGCTTCATGTGTTAACTGAATCTGGAAGTTTTTGACTTAAAATGAAGGTGTGGTGGGTGGGGATGGGGGAGCTCTGCCTGACCTGTGCCTGCAGGCAGCTCCTCAAGCCATGCCACCCCATGGATGGCTGTGCTGATGCTCTGATGGTTGCTCTCCCTGCAGACGTGGTCCACTGGAGCCTCCTGCCTGGCGGCTGCTGCTCCTGCCTGGCTTGGCAATCCCCAGCTGCTTGGGGACGTGGCACTGGAGGCCACCCGCCTGTCCCGCTGTGGCAGAAGAAGCCACCTCAGCCACCGGGAGGTCCTGCTGGCTATGAAGCTGGTGCTGCTGCGTGAGCTCTCCAAGCCTTCTCCAGCATTGTCGAGCTGTGAGCTGCTACTGAAGGGATCCAGCAAGACAGGACAATCCTAAGAGTATTTTAATGTGGTTTTGGTAAATAAAGTATTCATTAGCATTGTTTAACAGAGCCTCCTGCCTGAGCACACAGCTGCTGGCACAGAGAGCAGCAGGCGAGCTTGGTTACCCATATGCCCTGGGAAGGGGTGTGGGAGGGAGGGTGCTCGCATGCATCCACCTCGATAAATATTTGCAGAGCAGCCCTGCCAGCAGGTGACCAGAGACCCAAAGGGCCCTGCCCAGCCAGAGAATCCTCTTTGCTCCAACAGCCCAGGCTGCCTGGGGGTTCTCTGGTAGCTGGATGCCTCTTTGCACCAGATTTGCCCAAGAAAGGGGAGAGGAGGAAAGGTGGTCGTTATTCCAAGTCCTGGAGAAATCTCAAGCTTGGAGAGGAGCAGCATCCCCTGGTGATGCTGTGTTAGGTGGTGGCACCAAGTGACTGGTTTCCAGGCTCTCCATGGAGCTCCTTCACATGCCGGTTCCCCCCTCCATGCACAGGGATGTCTCCAGGTTCTCCAGTCTCCTGCCTGCAGCTTCAAAATCCATCCATGGGGATGGCTGGTGTGCCTGGCCACCATGAGTAGGGGTCCTTAGTCCCAGCTCGGTGCCACCAGCTCCTGGCAGTACTGGAACAACCTCCCTGCATTAGCTTTTCCAGCTGTGGAGCTTCTCCTCCCAGAAGCATGGGCCAGAGGCTGGAAAAGGGATGGATCCTTCCAGAGGGATCTGGCTCTCATCACCTCATGATGCTGGCATGGGCTGAAGGCTGTGAAATGCCTCTTCAGTGGGTTTGCAGTGGGAGGTGGTGACAGGTCTGCCTGCCTCTGTGCCACCGCCTGTGGCTGCCTCAGCTGGTGGGCCAGCACCAGCACCTGGAGGGACTTCCTGGACCATGTTTTGGGCCCTTCACTACAGGAAAGACATTGCATTGCTGGAACATGTCCAGAGAAGGGCAACAAAGTTGGTGAGGGGTCTAGAGCTTAAGGCTGCTGGGGAGCGGCTGGGGGAACTGGGGGTGTTCAGCCTGGAGAAGAGGAGGCTGAGGGGAGCCCTTATCGTTCCCTACAACTGCCTGATAGAAGGGGAGAGCCGGTGGGGGGGTTCAGGCTCTGCTCCCAGGTAACAGGCGATGGGATGAAGGGAAATGGCCTCACTTTGTACCAGGGCAGGTTTAGGTTGGACATTGGGAAAAATTTCTTCCCTGCAAGGGCTGTCAAGCACTGGAAGGGGCTGCCCAGGGAAGGGGTCGAGTCCCCATCCCTGGGGGGATTTAAAAGCCGGGCAGACGAGGTGCTTAGGGCCAGGGTTTAGTGGTGGGATAGCAGGGTTAGGGTAACAGTTGGGTTTGATGATCTTAGAGGGCTTTTCCAACCTAAAGGATTCTGTGATTCTGCTCTATGTGCATCTAGACCTGTGTAGGGTGATGGACTGTCAGCTACCAACAGCCTTTGGCTGTTCCCATAGTAAATATCAGGGTAATGGTTGCCTTCAAGGAGCAAGTCCTGCCAAGGACTGAGGGTTCAGGAGCTGTTGCCCAGGAGAAGGTTGAGTTTTGCTGTCTCAGCTCACGTGAGGTGCTGCCTCATTGTCATCCCCCTGCTGAGAGGCTTCAGCTTGCCCCAACCCTTGTTCTAGCAGCCCCGACTCTTTTGGCTGAATACAGTTTGCTTCAAGTCATGGATCTGGGGTTAACTCCCAGCTCTTGTAGGAGTAAGAGCTGCAGGTGACCTTGAGAAAACACCCAGGCTGTTCCACAGCTCCAGGCACTGCTGACTTTTCCCACAACGTTCTTGGCTGAGGTCTACTCAATCTGCCCCAAAAGCTGAATGGAGGAGGAGGAGGGTTCCACACCCTTGTGACACCATCTGGTTCAGAGCCTCATCATCCTGTCAGGGTGTTCCTCTTGTGTTACAGAGAGGAAAAACTGAGCTGAACACTTGCTGCTTCTTTTCCCTGCAAACAGCCCAAACCACTTGTCCTCTTTCTTCTCTTCCACTTTATTTATGTACCTGGAGCGCTGGCTGCTGCTTAGGAGTTTCTGGTGTCCTGCAGACTGCAGTCAGCATGATGTTGATGCATGGAGCCACTCTTCTGCAGCACTGCTGTTTAACTTTAACTCCTCCAGTAATTGTGCAGATCATCACTCCTGCCTAGAAGTAAACATGAGCCTAGAGCTGTTGCCAGGTCTCTAAAAGAAAGCAGCTGGAGCAGAGGAGCTGCTAGTAGAAATTACCAGGGGAGTTTCCTTGCCAGGCCAGGGCAGGAGAGCAGATGTTATCAACGTTGTCTTTTCCTGCCTGAAAACCTACAGCTCACCTGGGCTCCAGAGAGCCAAAATGTGACCCAGTGTGAATATACCCAAGGCCAGAGCAGCTCAGCAGCTGTACCTCTGTGGGGACTTCATGCAAGAGGTGAAGACAGGCACCAACTGGAAATTATTGCAGTACTTCCATCACCCTTGGAAATTTTTCAGATGCGCTACCAGATGTGAAACCATCTCTGGCTGTTACGTTAAGGTCTGTATTTGCCACAGTGGTGCTCGAATCCCTGTACAAATCCCTTCTCAAATTGCTTTGTCCTTGGAGCAAATGTCCTTCCAAATCTTCTGTCAAGCAAAGGCTGTCCTTTGTGGAGTTGTGCTCCAGCGTGATCGAGCAGATATAATAAAATTATTGGAGTCTTGAGCAGCTAGCGCTAACGATTCATTGCCTAGGCCCCTAGTTTCCCCTCACCTTTGCTGTTGAGTGCTTGGGTGCCCTCCTCATCTCATTTCTTTTTGGCCTCAGTCTATAGAAACTTGGACCCATCTCCAGCAAGGTCACTCACACTCATGCAGCTATGTTGTCCCCCGACGCTGATACTGAGGCAGCTTCACCCTGGGGAGAGCTAGAGCAGCACGAGGAGCTCTGCACCAGGATGGTGCCAGCAATGTGGCTCTGCCTCTAGCGCTTGATCTCACTGAGCCTCACCACTGGCTTGGAGTATCCTCAGCTCTCTAGGATCCATGCTTCAGTCCTTATTTTCCATTTATTTTTCTCCTTCACCTTGCTTTTGGAATTGAGAGTTCTTGTGTTAGAAATAGGGACCTGAAGCACAGGGTGAATCCAGTGACTTCCCAAAAAATATTCTAGAGGGTCCAGTTTGGGGGAAGAGGGAAATGTGCTCCACTAAGCCAGTGGAGGCAGCAGCGGTTTCTCATGTATGGGCAGCCGCAGCATGTGTTCACCCCCCCAAGCATGGGCAAGGTCCCCCTGTATCAGATCCCACCAGCTAGTCATAAAGGTCCGTATTTGTTATTTCTTCTGCAATTGTCCTCTCCGTTCTCAATTTCAACTTCCTCCCTCCAACCTATTAGTGGGGAAACATCCGGATGTAAAGCTTTCATTCAAAAATTGAAAGCAATGATTTATTCCTAGAGGGGAAGTGTGCTGTTGACGCTGCACCCACCACGTGGACACCCTTTAAAAAATCCTCTGTCACACCAAAAAGCAGCTTTGGTAGAAGCAGGAGGAGGAACCTCCAAGTAACTGGGCCTGAAAGGGCTTGTCAGGATGGTTTTCTTTTTTTAGTGTCCTCTCTGTCTTTTAATTTTGACTATGTTTGTGATAGAAACTTAGATAGAAGGAAGAAATGAAAGGGTTAAATGTAAAAAAGGTGAGATTTTTTCAGTCTGTAGATCCAAAATTAACAGAGAAAAACTTCTGTCCTTCAAGAGCTCTGAAGAAGGACCACGGCTCTCACGGTTCGCTACTCAAAAGGATGGACTCGTGCCATTTGTGTTGCCTTTGCTCAGCATCGTGGTGGCCTTTCCAAAAACAAGATCTGAAACCAACCCAAGTCTCTCATCTGCAAAACACAGCTGTGGGATTTACAGCTCTGGCTGGAGACTTTTAAGGAGACGATCCTAAATTCAGCAGCAAACAGCTTTTGAAAAACAAGCAGCGGGGCTGCTTTGCACTCCAGCATAGCACAGCATGAAAGGACGGGGAAAAGCCATTAAAAGTTGCTTCCTCTTGTCCCAGGTGTAAGGAGGGATGAGCATGTGTCCCCTTGCCGGGGTGCTGCAAGACGATGAACTGAAAATCAGCTTCGGAGTACATCCATGTGCCTTAGTGGGAAACCTGCCGGGGAATCAAAGCCATCTGATGGTTTGCCTTCAGATATTTGATTGCATTCAAGCTAATCACAGAAACAAACTGGGGCAGGATTGGGCCTGTGGTTTCTTTGGGCTCGGGGAGCTGGAGTGAGTTGGTGTGGGAGGTGTGTCTTGGTTGTGTGCCCGCTCCAGGCACCAGCAAAGAGCCGTGCCGTGGCCAGCAGGTTGCGGGGGTCAGCCAAGGGGATGTGACTTGATGCCACTCTGCCTGTGCAAAAGAGACGGGAGCCAGGAGCAGCCAAGGCAGCCACATCCCCCATCGCTGTGGTGCTCAGTTGAGGCATCGTGGTGGCTCTGGTGTCTCTGCCGGCCGCTGCACACTTGAACCCACCCTGAACCCAGCTGGGTACCAGTAGGTGTGAGCTTGGGCCGTGCTGCTCTGCCCAGCACACGTGCACACAACGGCAGCTGTGTACCTGTGCATGTTTGAGTTCAGCCAGGATGTCAGCCTTAAAGTCCACCCAGGTGGGTCTGGACACATCAAAATCACATCTCTGGAGCACATCAGAGACTAGGCACAGGCTTCCCTGAAACCCAGCTTCTCCTGGAGATGGAAGGCTTGAATTGAGGACAAACAGGTTACTCAAAGACAGAGATCTCTCTGAAAGATGTTAGAATCATAGAATTGCTTAGGTTGGAAAAGCCCTTTAAGATCATCAAGGTCAACCGTTCCCCTAACCCTGCCATCCCACCACTAAACCCTGGCCCTAAGCACCTCATCTGCCCAGCTTTTAAATCCCCCCAGGGATGGGGACTCGACCCCTTCCCTGGGCAGCCCCTTCCAGTGCTTGACAGCCCTTGCAGGGAAGAAATTTTTCCCAATGTCCAATCTAAACCTGCCCTGGCACAGTTTAAGGCC